AGCATATTTATTATTACAAATCATACTTATTCTTTCTGCCCCTTATCCGATCTCTCCCCACCTCCCTCTCACTCCCCCCTCCCACCTCTGATAACCCAAGATTTCTTCTTTCCTTCTGAAAGAGTAACAGTTATTCTGCTGATTTGTTGCCTTGATGATCTGTCCAATGCTGAGAGATGTGTTCAGGCCCCCCACTATTATCATAGAGTAGATGCTGCTTCTGTCACTCTGGAATAGGCTTTATGGAGAGAGACATCCTCTTCTTTTCTTTGGCCTCCACTGGTGACTCTCCTTGTGTCAATGCACTTAAGTGGTTGGCAGGCCATCTGCACGGTGGTTGTGGCATCTAGCCACTTTTGCGGCATCTGTGGCTATTGTGGTGGCTGTGGTGGGCCACCCACATGGAAGTGGTGTTTTTGGTGTGCTCCTTGCCTGGATGTGGGAGGAGGAGTCAACCCTGGCCCCAGAGGCACATACTTTCTTTATTCCCATTTTACTGATTGGGATAAACCAAAACTTACAGAGGTTAAGATGTATATATATGAATATATATATATATGTGTGTGTGTGTGTGTGTATGTGTGTGTGTGTGTACACGCACAAATACGCACACATATACATACATATATAAGTAACTTTATATGTATATATATAAACACGTAAGTAATCTGCTGATAAGGGGCTCAAATTTTATTCTGTCTGAATGCATGACCATATTCTTGACCAGTTCTGACTCCAAATTCTTGCAGAGAAGGACTTAAGTCCCAAACTATTATATACCATTAGGCAAAAGAAAGAAACAATAGTTAAATAAAATATTCAAAATATTCAAGATGATTTGGTTGCAAACAACAGAACTTGACTCTCACTAACTTAAGTCAAATAAAGATTTCTTTTTAACTAAAAGAATACTGGGTGGCTTACAGAATAAAGAAAGATAGGAGCCAGGTAATTCCAGTGCCTGAGTCTTCTGGTTCCAGTCTAAAACTACTGAGCCTCCATTTTGATCTTTTAAACAGATGCCACTCTGTTTTAAACAGATGCAGTCTGCTTTAGTCTGGATTTTCAGAGAAGCAGAGTTCAAGATGCAAAGACATGATTACATTGTGTAATGTTGAATATACTAATTATCCTGATTTGAGCACCACTTATTGCACACAGATATTGATATTCAAAGCTGTACCCCACAGATATGTAAAACTGATCATGTTTCAATTTTTAAAAATGATAAAAAGTAATAATTTTTTAAAAGGCACAGGATTTTATTTGGAAGAATGCCTGAGAGAGAAAATGGCTAGGGCACTGGGAGAGGCTGGGAGAGCCATTTGACCATGATGCAGGTCTGACATAGAGAGGAAAGAGGGCAGGAATACTGGATGGAAGCATCCCAGACCCGTAGTGTCCCTGCCAGATCCACTCATTGCTGGGAGCAGCCTTGGGGAGGCAAACACAGCAAGGGGTTTCAGAGAGCAGGTGGGGAACCTTGGACACTTAGCTGTCTGTAGTTGGAGTTCTATGAAGTGCATTCTCGGGGCAACCACAGGTGCCCTGGGACATCAATAAAGGCTTCTGTCTTTAAAACTTCCAATGATTTACAAAGTAATTGGTTTACAGCACGGGCCAAACACGTACCACTGTCAGACATAGATGGGGTAAATTAAGGTACACATTATTACAACAGTCTTGGCTATGAGGGTCTCTTCCAAATTCTGACCTGAAATTTACAAACTGGACTTAAATAGTGATGTAGTGTATTCACCATTCAATAATCATCACAATCACCTAAAGTTAGGGTCCAAAAGCTAACCTATGTCCTCTAAAAACACCATATTATACTCCAGTTTCTACAAGTCCTCTCTAGAGTAAGGAAGCATCCAAAAACAGAAATGTCTGAACAGTTTATTTCACGAATTTTTATACTTTGAAAGTTTGAGAAGGTTAGACAAACTGACTTAGGTTGAAAGTTCAACTCTCTGGAGGCATAATCATAATATGATAATAGAATATTATTATCATGTCATATAATAATACAGTACTGTATATTATATAATGTATATATATTGGCATCAAGTAATCTTCTAAGCAGCTTAAATTTATTTTAACTCACTTAATTCTCACAACAACACTATGATGTAAAACTATTATAATCTCCATTTACATATGTGGAGACTCAGGTACAAAGAGTTAAGTGACTTGCCTAAGATTCCAGAAGGACTAAGAGCTAGAGTTGAATTTGAACCCAGGCACTCTGTCTTCAGAATCATGCTCTTAACTACTCCACTAATCCTCTCCTGCACCTCCCTCTGCCAATTTTATTGTGGTAGTGATGTAGGACTATGCAGTCTCAACAAAACCAATGGAGGTCATTAATTCTGGGCACATCATGAATCTACTGTCTTAGTCACAGAAAGAGTAACATTAGGCTCACAATTTGTGAATTCAGCCAAGTATCTTGATCTCAGCAATATGGTCATGCTAGAGGACAAAGTTTCTCAAATTGTGGGTTAATTCTCCTCAGTGGGTCACAACCAGTATTTTAAAAAATGCTATAAAAGAGAAACGAAAAGAAAATAACAGAGGCATTACACATAATAGAAGTAAATTGTGTGTGTGTGTGTGCTAGATTCAGAAATGATTTCTTAACTGAGGGTTGCAGTTAAAAAAAATTTAAAGTCTCTGTTCAAGGAGCTACTAAATCCTTTCATTAAGAAGGCTTAATTCTGTTGCCTACCTGTGGATTATTAGCAATAACTGCAGGCACTGAACAATCAACAAGTTTTAAATAGGAAAGTTTGGAGTTCCATTTGAACCAGATAGATTATATTCAGTCTTGAGGCTACCTCTTAGCCTCTCTATGAGAAGGTAATAAGGTAGGACATGGAGTCTTGAAAACTCACCCTTGGGAAGTTCCAGGAGGATTAATGCCATTGGTTATCTAATCAGTCATCTTGTTCTCTACCAACACAATGAAAGAGCATTCATCCTCACTAGGGCACTTGACATTGGCAAAAGCAACTAAATGTACCAAGGTTTCAGCTAGTTCCCACTCTTTCATTTAATATTCCTTTTTTCTGCCCGCTTGGTGTACTAGTCTGACGTTTTCTTTGTTCTTATGGGCATATATCTAGCTTCCTCCCATAGATCTCTTGCGTGGCAAGAATGGTACAGATTCTAAACATTATTCTTCCCCCACAGGTGTCAAAAATGCATGAGCACACAGTGTGTGCTGGGCTATGGGTGGCAAAGACGGAAAGAGTCAAGGCAGTCATAGAGATATCAATTTCCTTGGTACAATTATATGTGACCTCAATACTCCCAAGGGGTCTTAATCATAAGAGATACCTCTTAGTTCAGCTGATCAGCCAACTACATTTTACTGCACTCCCACTGTGGCCAGAGCTCCATGTGGAATGTGGTGAGAGTTATGGCCTTTGCGCTCCAGGAATTTGCAATCCAGTAGAGAGACAAGGCAAACAGGTGTGAGAAAAATAGAACACTTCCTACTAGAAGAGAAAGAGAACTAATTTTCTAAAATTTTCTAAATACAAATTACATTTTTTTTTTTTTAAAGATGACTGGTAAGGGGATCTCAACCCTTGCCTTGGTGTTGTCAGCACCACACTCAGCAAGTGAGCCAACTGGCCATCCCTATATAGGATCTGAACCCATGGCCTTCATGTTATCAGCACCACACTCTCCCAAGTGAGCCATGGGCTGGCCCAATGCAAATTACATTTTATCTCAAATTCACAAGAACAAATTCTATAACCTTATAAAATATTTATCTGTATTTCCCTTAAACTTATTAAAATGTGTAAATTTTGTGTTTTTTTAATTTTTTTTTTATTTTTGGCCATCAAACAAGTCTTAATACACTTAAAAAGACTAAGATCATAGAAAATATGCTCTCTGACCACTATGACAGAAGGAAATTTAGAAAATTCAAGAATGTGTGGAAATTAACACTCTCCTAAATAAACAATGTATAAAAAGAAAAATCACAGGGAAGTTGGGGAGTACTTTGAGATAAAAATAGATGTCCTCTTCTTTTTCTGGTCTCCACTGGTGACTCTCCTTCTGTCAATGCAGTTGAGTGTCTGGTGGGCCACCTGTATGGGGGCTGTGGCTACTGTTGTGGCATTGAGCTTCTTTTGTGGCAGCTGTGGCTATGGTGGTGACTGTGGAAGGCCACCTGTGTGGAAGTAGTGTTTTTGGTGTGCTCCTTGCCTGGTTGAAGGGGGGCGTGGGGTGTGGCCCTTGGTTCCTGCCCAGATGTATAAATTTTGGATAATAATTTTTTATTAATAATTTTGTTTTTATTCCTTCTCATTGAAGATGACAAATGTTAACTAAACAAATAATAATAATAAATTTAATTAACATTTTCCTTGGAAAAAATAAGCATGGACAATAGTGGAAATATAATCAAGCAACAGTAACTCTACATAAGGCCTACAGTGTAAACAACTGCTGAGCTTTAGGAATGAAACTGAAGGAGTTCTCTTTGATTTTTCCCCAATCCTTTTAACCAAAGCCTCAATTGCAATCTTTTCAACCACTGAGAAATACTATAAAATCTTAAGTCCTGTACTTTACGTCCATGGGTGTATGTATGTGTGATAGGAAAAATCACTATTACCTGAAGTTATAGTATCTGAAATTTGAATAATGCTTTTGCATAAATTTGCATCCCACAAGAATCTTATGCAGTAGGTTATACAAGATGTACCCTGGGGTAAGAGACTTGATTGAGTTTTCCTGACCAGTTCTTAAAGATGTAATACTGATACCTAGGTTTTGTAATTCTAAATTTAATCATCTTTAAATTTAGGAGGAGTAGATGAAGTTATGATTTAGTGTTACAATCGTATGTATCCTATTATTCAACCAACAATAAACGGTTTTCACAGATCTTCAGAAATGTAAACTGAATCTGCAAAGAAATTTTGTATGAAGAGGTAACATCATAGTTTGACTCTGGATTTGTGATTTTCCTACAGTTAACACTCTACAACCAGATGCATCACTTACTACATCCAGTACGTTACTCTCCATATCAGTAACAGTTCCAGAAAACAACTCAAAGTCTCAAGGTATGATTTCTACATGCATGTATGGAAACTTGCTCTACTTTACCCTTCCTCATCAAGAAGGCCCTACCAATCTTAATTCACAAAATAGAGTGCTGCCAGAATGAGATAGACTATTGCACTTGCAACATCATATCTATAAATCACAGATGCTTCCTTAAATAAGGGTGGAGGGAGGATTGTGAGGATTGGCACATATTCACCAGAGGTGACTTTTTTTTTTCTTTCTTAAAATAATAGGCACTGAGGTCGGAAAAAATGCAAGCTCTTCAGCAACTAGCTCCTCTTATTCCAGTGAGTAACAGACGTATCTTCATTCATGGTAGTAGATATGCAAAATATTTAAATGTGACCAATAAGGGGAAAGGACTAGATTATGGTCAGTCTGTATTAGTCCATTTGTGTGCTAGCATAACAATACCTCAGTCTGGGTGATTTATAAAGAACAGAGGTTTATTTGGCTTATGACTCTGCAACAGCTGCATCTGGTACAGGCCTCAGGCTGCTTCTACTCATGGCAGAAAGCAGCAGGCAGCCGGCGGGTACGAGCAGATCACATGATGAGAGGAAGCAAGAGAGAGGCGAGGTGCCAGGGTCTTTTAAACAACCAGCTGTCACAGGAAATAATAGGGCAAGAACTCACTCACTGTCCCTACCCCCAAGGGACAGCATTAATCCATTCATGAGGGATCCACTCCCATGACCCAAACCACTCCCAACATTGCCAAGTTGGGGATCAGATTTTGACATGAGCTCTGGGGGGACATCCAAACTCTATCACAGTTTTTTCTAAATTTTACAGAACTTTCAATCCCATTATAATCCTATCTAACTACTGCTTGCTTTGAGAATGTCCTACAAGTAAGCCTGGTCTTAATGAGCATACCTTGGTGATTTTTTTCTTTTCTTTTTCTTTTTTTTTTTTTTTTTTTTACGTTAGTACTAATTGATTACCACCAAGAGCCAGGGATGACTTGATGGGACTAGTTTCAGATATACCAAAGTACACCGGCAGCGATCCCCATAAAAATGAATTGTTGCCAAATAATCATGTTGTAGACCCTGAATATATTCTATCTTTGTTTGTCAGTTAAATATTTTTAAATTAAAAAATGAGAAGGTAAATTATACAAAATAATGAGTTTTTCACCTTGACAGAACTTAATGTTAAAAATGGTCTTTAACAAACATTCCATTTTAGCTAAAACATATATGTCACATAATATTTACATGTATGCTAACACTGAATAGAGAATACTCAATCATTTTCTTAGCAATTGAGAATAAGAAGATTTAATTCCATCAAATAAGTCAGCATGGAAATTATTGACCTGCTGACTCATAGCATCTTCATTTTAGGAGGCAATAATGACCTCACTCAAGGTCTACTATGAAATCAGCAGAACTTACTTAATGCAAACATTTAACTCTGACAGTGGAAGTATAAACCACCCTATCAATGAATTGGAGAATTATTCCCGCCCCCTGATAAATGTATGAGGAGCACATATGCAAGTAGATGAGAATACGTAACTAAATGCAGTAACCTTAACTTCCTCCAGTTGTATCCCTGTGACAGCTTGTTTGCCATCATTATAATTTTAACCTGGGAAGTGACCATCAGAAAAGAAGACAGATGCTAAAAACCCCAGCAAAAAACCTTCTTCTCAATGAAATTAGGAAAAATTCACTCTAGGTTACTGCAGCAACACCACTCCCCCCAAAACACACACACACACACACACATTTCTCCCGAACTGTGTTGTTCGTTTTTAAGAATCACATCCACTGTGGTATATAGTTTGGTTATTTTATGCCTTTTCCAGTTTTAAGATAGTATTATAGAAAGATATTTGTTTTTTAGAAAGCCAGAATTACGACTAATGTAGTCCCAAATGGGCTACATATATTTTTTTTCCAGTAACTTTATTATAAAGTACTGAGGAATATAATGTGTGAGTGTGGGTTTAATTATAATATAGAGAATATCTTCTGCCTTTGCAGTCTTCCATCTCCTCACTTCTCCAGTCTCCAGGAATGTGGGAGAACTAGCTGTCTTTGGTTTGGAATTTTGTTTCAGAAAGGCTACAAGACTGACATCAAGTGGATGTGTCAAAAATGACAACTAGTGCAAAACCTTTAAACTAAATAAGTCTTCTTTGCCTAAAATATAGTTTTAATAGAATGATATGTAAAGAAGAAAGGAAACATGCATGCTTTTGCTCAGTTAATAAACTTTGTGAAATTCAATAGCCACTCTGATTGACAATGTCCCCAATACTTTTTAGGTGTTATGTTGCCAGTGGTTATTGCTTTGATTGCAATAACACTTTCAGTATTTGTTCTGGTGGGTTTGTATCGAATGTGCTGGAAGACAGACCCAGGTAGGTAACATTGTCTTGTTTTGTTTTCCTGAAAGGAGAATGAATATATGCTCAGTCTTAAACTCTTACAGGAAGAGAGGAGTTCTAGAAAGGAATAAAATGCCATATTGCCTGATCACAGAAATAGAGGAAAAGGGGCAGAGAAATCCATTGAATGCTAGTGAATGTAAGGAATGGGGATTAAGTACTATTATCAAATATGGGCACTTTTTTTCAGTGAAGTAGCCCAAATTTTGTGAGTCATCAGGGGAATATGGTAGTAAAGCGTGCATAGTGACACGCCTTATCTAAAGTGAGGATTAATTCCCTTTCCATGTAACAGAGAATAAAGGGAAAGCTTGCTAAGAATTCAGTTTAGGGGCCCATAATCTCACGAAGAGTGTTCTGTGACTTACTTCCCTCCACGGAGGCACAGCTTCCTTCCATGACAGTTATGGTTTTTATTCTTGTTTAAAAATAAACTTTCTATTTCAGAAGAGATTTAGATTTACAGAAAAGTTGCAAAGACAGTACAGGGAGTTCCCATATACTCCACACTTAGTTTTCCTGATTATTAATATGTTAGTGTGATATATTTGTTACAATGAATGAGCCAATACTGATAAATTATTATTAACTAAATCTCTACTGCATTCAGATTTATTTCAGTCTTTATTCGGTCTTTTTTTCTGTTCCAGGAACTTTAGCTCTCTTTCTACTCAAGGCTTCTCCTGAATCCCTCTTCGGCTCCCATGGCTCAGTTGTCCCCTATGTTAACTTACCTCCAGTCTTTCCATTCCAGACCCCTGCTGTGGTTGTGTGATGCAGAGTCGTGTGTCTGAGCCTTCATTCATACTATTTCTTCTCCTGGAATGTACAGCCCACCTCATAGCTTTTATAACATACCTAATCCCCAACTTATCCATTAGGATCCAACTGAAACACCAATTTACTCCATCTTTTTATATCACACCACTTCTTCAAGCAAAATGGATTATTCCTTTAATTTTAATTGTACATAATTTGATGATCTCATTCATCTTACTATAGTACAGTTACTTACTTATGTGCCAGCCTCCCCTGCAAGTCAGGCACCCTCCAAGTTGCAAACCACATACTATGCACATTGCCTTGTCCCTAATATGAGGGCACATCAAAAAATACATGTGAAGATTCATAGTTCCTTTTGATTCTATGTTTCCATGAATTTTTTTAAGTACTCTCATATATAGCAGACCCTTACTATGTGCTTGTTGAGTTAAATTTTTAAATGTTCAATAAAATAGAAACTTCACTTTCCCCACTGTGATTCTAAATATTTCACTAACAAAATTCTACCTGTCTCATAAACTGTTAAAAGGTAAAAAGCAATTATTTTTATAAGCTATATAATCTGCACTATGCTTTGTTTACGCCCTGGACAGTATGCCCCCAGGACACTAATGAATGCCCTTCCCCAGGCCAACAACTGACCATGATCATGACAGTGCAAGGAAATGTTAGGAGACCAAACAGTGGTGCTCATTTTAGCTCTTGGTGAAAAATAAGAAGAAAACTAACCAATGTCTTTTCCTTTGGGAGTGAGTGGATAAACTTTATAATAATGTCTGAAATACGTTTCCTTACCCAGTTTCTGGAGGGGAAATAGCATTTTTATAAATTATTTTAATTTCTCTAAGTTTCTATATATATTTTATGGTAAATCAGCCATCTGAGTTGAAGGCTGTGGCTGTTGAGTATATATGATAGGTAGAAATTAGTGTGCTAAAAACATTTGTAAAAATACCCTGTACTGAAAAACTGCTTTGCATAGGAAGATTTGAAAATACATTATTTGAAAAGTTGACATTTTCTACTAAAGAGGACTCTGAATATATAAAACTCCTGCCATTGTGGTGAGTTATTCTGAAGATATATAGTACTTTAAAAGCAAGTTTGGCAATACAGTTAGCCAAATCTATTTGTTTACTGTTAACTTTATTTTCCAAACAGAATTTACAGCATTGTTGTCATTAAATTAGCACCATTAAACATCTGCAGTTACTCATTTTTCAAGTGTGTGGATGAGACTTCACTAAGTTCAGAAAATTAATAAACCCACTCTGCTCTCTAGAAGACAAAATGAATCAGATTTTAGTATGAAATTAAATTATCTGGATAATGTTGACAGTGGGCTGAGATTTAACCCAAATAGGAATGGTATATATGTAGAAAGTAGTCGGTCGGCATGCCTCTATCTGTTAATACCCCCATCATTATAGCATTCTAGGAAAAAATATTAAAACAGACATATAAAATATATCCACTCATTTTGAAACAGAGCTATGAGCATCCCGGGTGATACTGTGTATGACACTTATGGGAATCAAAAAATGCTGTTAAAACCCTACTGATAGAGAGAAGATGAAGTTCAGTCTAGCTGGTGAACAGCATTTGGTGCCATGGATTAAATCCTGGGGATTAAGAGTTATGATGGGGTATCTTAGCCAAGGTGACAGAAATAGAAGCAGCCAAAATATTAGTGGAAGTCAAGGTTTTTATAAAACAAGAGTGGTCAAAGCCAGGAGAATTATATTCCAAGGGCATATCCCAGTGACAGCTAGATTAGTTCTGAAAAGAAATTCAAGAAGGAGGAGCTGATTAGCAATGGAATAAAACCATAGCAAAATCAGGAACAAAACAAGAAGGACCTTAAGCTATCACATTGAGCAGCTGGCCTAATTGGGTTAATGCAGGGTTCGACCACCAACATCCACTCCAGAGAGACCATGTCCTTAAGCAGAATGAATCATTCTGAGTTCTCACTCTAAACCCAACGTTTTTCCACAAAACACTTGTGAAGCAACCTGGCAAAGCATACAAAAGATTAGTTGCAGTTAGTAGTCTCAGTGACATCTTGCAGGGCACTTTTGAGAGACTGAATCAGTGGGCTTAAGATGCAGTTACAAACAATATCTACATTGTAGCTCACCACATACAGCGATTTGCATCCCAAGAAAGAGGAATATATAAAGGAAAGTGGGAATTCAATTCTCTGGTATAAAAAGGTAATTTAATACTTTGAGAATAATTTTTTCAGAGATTCTGAAATAAACTGAGACATTATCTAGTGTCTGTGGGATGTATGATAATGTACAGTAGTTTCACATAATGATGTGAAACTATGAGATCAAAATTAGTCCAGAACTCAGTTAAGTGCAGTTAATATAATTAGGACTATCCCATGAATGTCAAGATGTGCATTAACCATAGTTGAGGAAATGGTCTGTGGGGGATAAAAAAAAGAAACACTGGCTTTAGAAACATCCCTACCCTGAAAGCTGTCAGGGTTTCAGGTTTTTTTGTGGCCAAGCTCTTTCCAACTCTAATAACAACTCTCTTTTTTCCTAGGCATGCCAGAAAATGGAAATGATCAGTAAGTAAGGCCACATCATTTTTTTCCTAGGAGTTCTGACCCTACTGTTTAGATAAGGAAAATTATTGATCCTCTACTTATATATTTTTTAATTGTTTTTAAAAGAGATTTGTGTAGAAAGCACTATATTTGGGATTCAGCTATTTGTCAGAGCTCTCTACTATACAGAGAAATTCCAACAACTAAAAGAGAAAACTGCTCTTAAACTTGGGTAAAGAGGTAAAATGGGAAATAAAAAGATGAAATGGAAAAGTAGAAGAATGAATATAACTATGAGGGAAAATGTTATAGAGAACATATCTAGAGTTTTGAAATAGTTTTCCCAGTTAAATTTTCAGTATGTTTATCACAGTTAGGGAAACCCACATCTACACTACCATGAGCCGGCTCTGAGTGGCTTTGCCTTAAATGTAGATAGTTTCTCTATTTTGACTTTATTAAAACAAACAAAGCAGTTGTTAGCAGTGCAGGGAACTGTTACAACCAAGGTGGGGCAAGGAGACATGACAAATTGTTTCCATGTGAAAAACAAATTCCGTGGCCAGGTTTTCTTTGTTTATCTGAATTTGTAGCGTTCCATTATTTAAGTGTTTTTGTATTTCATCAGGTCGTAAACTCTAGAAATAATATCTCTATGTCATCCACACATCTAAATTAGAAATGGAGGCAGTCAAGATGTCCCAGGGAAGGAATTAGGGTTTGAAACTGTTTGAAATCTGAGAAGGAATAGGTGTAAACTCTTGGTTAAAACAGACAGTTCAGACACAGTACTGCAGTAACTCGGGACTTTATATAAAGGGATATCCCCAGAACTCAGCATCAGCCCGAAAGGTTTGGAAATGTTTCTATGTCTTACACTTCATAATTCAGAACAGGAGGCGTGCAGTATGGCCCTTGTGACAAATGTTTCACATGATCCATATTGATGTTTAATTTAGCTGATAATCACCACGTAACTAAGTGAGAGGGATTTATTGTCTTAATTCCAGAAATGGAAAATGCTAAAAAGTATATGTGTATTTCTAGTGAAGAAGAGACAAGAATTTTTCCATAGAAACATGTAAATATATATATACATGTGTATCTTCATTCTGTTTTGGCACATTTACTTTCTTTCATAGAATTCATTCCTAATTACTGTGGTGCTATCTTAATGTTTTTGTTTCAAATAGACCTCAGTCCGATAAAGAGGGTGTGAAGCTTCTCACTGTTAAGACAATTTCTCACGAGTCTGGTAAGTTCCCGGACAGTTGGTTAGATGAAAAATGATCATTTCAAAACCTAACTATAAGCTTGGATTTTATGCTTGTGAAACATAACCAAAAAGCATAACTTCTTTAGAAATAGTCAATTAGTAATGCTCAATAAGTACAAAATTCGCCTATGAAGGAAAGATAGGCCCTAGACATTTCATTTTTGGTAAGATTATTGGGCTCTCTGGCCTTTAGAAATTGTTTTTTATAGATGCGTAGATGTGTTGCAATGATGGGGTGGAGGCATTTCCTATTTTGCAGGAGTGGCAGAAAGACCATTAAGTTTGTTAATGAGTTTTTTATTATTGTTTTGTTTCATTTTTGGTAATGGCTGTGTGTACTCAACTGGAACCAGGATGTATCCATCAGTTAAAATGTCAATCATGTTTTATATCATTTGATATAATTTTAATGCAAGCTTCCTAATAAAAACAAGACACAATTACCTGTTGAAAAAATTTGCGTTTCTTTTTCCAATTTCACAGGTATAGTCATTTGATTTAAAATGTAAAGTTTTTTTTAAAATGTAGATGTGATTTGTATGGGTTAGAGTTGTATCAATAACAATGAAAAATTAGATGGTAGATAGCTTTTAAGAATATAAAAAGTACAGATTTTTCTCACTTTGAGTAGATCAGATATTTAAAACATTGATATCACAAAACAAATAAAACTACTTATCAGTTTTACAAAATAATCATGTGGCTTTAATTTAAATATCAAGTTACATTAATACATTCACAATATTCAGTCCCCAACATTTTACTTATACAAAAGAGTCCCAGAATACATGTGTTACATAAAGTGAGAACTACAGAATGATAACTACATTAGAAATATTTCTGGTAGCTAAAAACAATTTTGCAAAACAGAAAACTATAAATACTGTACCAAATCAAAAGCAAGATATCAAAGGCTGAATGTGGTCCCAATTTTATGGACATTCAAACCAGAATATAAGTACAACAGGCAATCAGAAGAAGTGAAGAGCGGGACATCCAAAGCCTGCACGGACACAACAGACCCCACATGTGAGCATTTTCTTTTAAGAGAAATCTCTTTCATTCCTGTCTCTCTTCACTCTTTGATGCACACATTTCCTTTATTTTCACATTATTCTTTCTCTCAGTTGTAACCATCTGAAAGGGCAAAGAAGCAAAATTTATTCATAGAAAACAGTTAGCCCTCCATATACATGGGTTCTACATCCGTGGATTCAACCAATTGTGGATCAAAAATATTCCCCCCCAAAACAAGACAACAATAAAAACTAATACAAATTTTAAAAAACAATACAGTATAACTGTTATTTACAGAGCATTTACATTGTATTAGGTATTATAAGTAATCTAGAGATGATTTAAAATATACTGGAGGAGGTGCATAGGTTAGGTTGTATGCAAATACTATGCCATTTTAGATCAGGGACTTGAGCATCCATAGAATTTGGTACCCTGGGAGAAGGGACAGGGGGACGGGAGGAGTCCTGGAATAAATCACCAACAAGTATGCAGGAATGAGTGCTGTCAGAAGCCACTCTAGCTTATCTAGCTATTCACCAGCCTTGACTCAGTAGCCAACCCTACTCTACTAGGTCAGGGCAAAGAGCTAGAAATTGGTTAAGAAGCCTAAATGTGAACTAATCTGAGTAAGCTCAAGAGGGACCCTGAGCGTGAGTTCTGAGAATCTGCCTGTGGCTTGCAAGCAGGCGTAACAATAATTTCATGCATTCTTCCTCACTGCCTTAGGAATTTAACCAAACACTCTGCAGTCTCCTGGGCTCTCCAAGCTGTGGCTGGGGTGCTAACCAGCACCTGGAAGTAGCCCTGTGTAGGAGCTCCTGGCTCTTCTTGTGAGGAGGGAACTTGGATCAGGACCACCTGCAGCTTTCTACTACCCATTTCTATTAAGGAAATGACTACTGACAACAGAACCATACCTTCCAGGGGAAAACCCCAGAGAACCTCACGTTTCTTGGTTGCAAATTTAATAGCAGACCCTTCTGTAAGGCCCAGGGAAAATTCTACATAGGCTGTATCCCACACCTGTCGTGACTGCAGTAGTAAGTGGAATAGACCATGGCGGGATAGTTAAGTAGATCCTTAACCCTCCAAATTTCCTCTTCTTCAAAAGTAACTTTTCAGGTCACAGGTCTAAGAAGGAAATATTATCATGGAAATAATAAGAGATGTTCTCTGGTACTTTTATTTCTACCAACTTCAATTTAGGAATCATACTGCTTTTAACAAAATAACCTCTAAAGGTTATCAACCCAGCTGATTACCATGGAAAATATTTGGTGATAGAGCAAAACTGAAATTGGTGATTCAGAGTAGATTTCAATAGTTCAGAATTAATAATCTCAAGCATAATGATCTCCAAATGCTCCTTCCACTGCCACAATTTTTATTAGTCTGTCATTAGCAGGACTCGATGATTTCTAAATCATTCACAAACAAATCTCTTCCCACTCTCTTTCAAAACATATTAAAATATAGTTTCTATATAAAACTATGTTCAACACCCTCAACAAAAATTACATGATTGAAATTATTTTTAGTTAAGTATCTCTTGCCCAATACTAACATCGTTTTAAAAATACTGGAAAACCGGAAATGATTAGGTTTGATATAAGTTCACAAGCTTTGCTTAATTTTTCTACTATCACCTGTATAAAAACATTTAAATATTTAAAAAATACAGAAAAGAATTTGAGAGTAAATATCTGACTGCCCACCTCTCAGAATTGATGATTATTACAATTTATCTTTTTTTAATATTATTGTAACATAGTTGATTGTACATATCTGTGGGGTACAGAGTTGAATATCAATACCTGTGTGCAATATGTGATGCTCAAATCAGGATAATTAGCATATTCAACATTATATAATTTGATCATTTTTTGTGGCCATTTAGCAATTCCTCTTTTACCCTCTCCCCCTCCTCCTTTCCCACCTCTGGTTTGCTTCAAGGCATAAGAAATATAATGTTAATTAACATGCAGAAGTGAAAAACACAATGAAATTTGAGCTTCAGTTGCCATAAAAATTCTTTGGATTGGTCATTAATTCAATACAGAAATTCTGTACTTTTATCTCAAAATAAATTGTACCATTGTGGAGGCCAATAAATAATGTTTTCAAGGAAACAGAAATCTGAGCAACCCAACTTCAGGGAAAATGCCAGTGGATACTTAATTTTCTGAGTTTCTAACAGCCTTGATGAGCCATGGTCAGAGTTCTGGTCATTTTCTCCTGGGAAGACAGTTCCTTGCTGCTAAGTCCTCTTCCTCTGATTAGGTCACACAGGATCTAATGTCATGTTATACGATTACTTATTAAATGCATAGTCACTATTTCTTCTTACTTATTTTTACATATAACACTTATTAACAACAAGAAATAAACAAAAGGGTAAAAATGAGCAAAACATTGAGAGACTTATAAAGCAATATATAGATTCATCTTCTGTCTTCTCAGCCCTTCAACATTTGACTCATTCTCTGTATTTCCACCAAGTCTTCCTTGACTCTTCCAGCTCTAAAAGGTCTTTCTCTCATCTTAATGTATTGTTAATTTGGCAAATTAACATATATTACAGCCTTATAATATTTCTTCATGGCTTAAACTTCTATTTTAATATTTGCCCACATTATACATAATGGAAAATAGGAAAAAAAATGGAGAATAGAAAAGAATAGAAAAGAATCAAAATTACCCATGAAACACAACCTCGATACAAAAATTATTGGCATTTGGTATATTTCCATAGAGTTGCTTTTTCTCTAGGTATGTGTGTGTTTCATTGGAGAATAGAAAAGAATAGAAAAGAATCAAAATTACCCATGAAACACAGCCTCGATACAAACATTATTGGCATTTGGTATATTTCCATAGAGTTGCTTTTTCTCTAGGTATGTGTGTGTTTCATTTGCTTTTACCATAGATGACATTATTATAACTGTTATAGAAATCATATTGTTATTGAATCTTTGTTACATTTTCTATTCTCAATTAGACCCTGAAGAGAGATATTAAGAATTGTAATGATTTTTCTCATGGTTTGCTTTCCATGACTTTTGGCAGATCGTAGGTTTGCAATAAATGTTTATTTTGCTTACTTCTCATTCCTTTACTCTATAGCCATGGGTTTCAGGCAGGTGCTGTGCTTTTTGCAAAACAAACAGTGAGCAATAGTTTGTGGAGGGGCAGAAGCTGTGAGGGCTGTGGCATCGTGCCTGGCATTTCTCAGAGCATAGGACCGAGGGAGTGCTTGACTAGAAACCCTGAGTTTGTTCTTCTCGGAGGTCTCTGGCACTATCTATTATTGCTATGACCATGCAAGTAACAGGTGACATCCACAGAGTCCCCAGATGATAGGCTTCCTAGTCACTGGCAGATAAAAGCTGGAACAAAATGATGACATTTACTCTAAAAGCTAGAGATTTTGACCTATATTGCTTTTATATAGTGTGACTAACGTTGATGCTTGATTCTAACTCAAGGACATGAGTAATGTGAAATACGTTCGTCACAAATTCAATGGCTTGTAAAAAAAGAATGCTTGGGGCCTCTAAGCTTTTCATCATCTTAGGTTAATATTTATATTTATATTGGTTGGTGGAATAACACTGTAATTTTGAGTAATGTCACATGTGCTATTCTGTATGTCACCAAAGTGTTCGTGTTGGCCTATAAATTCATTTTCGCAAAACTCTCAATGAATTATTTAAACAGAATGACCCTAGAATGTCTTCCTGATAAAATGGCACTTTAAATATATGATGTGGGTTGGCTTAGGCACAGCCAGCTCATGTAACAAGCAAAAATCAATAACTCATCCTCAGGATGTCCCTGTTGTTATCATCTCCTAACCCACATCCCACGCCCAGGGAGTGAGTTAGCATCGCTCCTTCAGGGTGAAAATGGACGATGGCTGGAAAAAACTCATGAATCTTGGTGAATAATCTCCAGGCAATACCAAGAGGCAAATTGTGGCTCTAATGACATTCTTGCAGGAGAATCAGACTTTTCTTGAAAAACAAACAAGCCAAGAGATTTTATTTTCATCCTTAGTCACTCTCTGAGCTTATAGATCAAAACGTATCTTCTGTTCTTAGGTGAGCATTCTGTGCAAGGAAAAAAAAAGAACTGACAGCTTGGTGAATCCTCACCACACCTGGGCAATAAATATGTAAGTTTCCTAATTTCATTCACTGAGATACTCATTAATATCTGTTTTGTTAGCCTGCTGCAGCTTAGGTTATTTTTAAAGACATTTATAAGCTGAAAAGTTAATGGTTTGTGTCAGTGAAACCATCATTGTCTATTTGTTTAAAAACAAACTCTGAGAAGAGTTGCCAGAAAAATGTTTTGGTCGTCATAGAAGATTCTTCCAGTTGCTCTGCCTATCTAAGGAATGACAAAATTCATTCCTTCTGCCTGTTGATAATGTTTCCTTATAAATGCAGCCTGCCTTTACCTGGGTCAGTAAACACACACTAACATTGGCAGTTAGGGCTTTTTTGCTAACAAAGACTCTGAAGACCCAAGTGACAATGTTTGCAAATTTGCATTTTATTGCAGGAAAAGGATACAGCATAGAAGCTGTATTAAAGTAAGAACGTACATCACAGCCAAAGACTGGCTTAGGGCAAGGGGTCCAGAGAAGCTAGACAGAAGGTCCGATTGCTCTCCCTTTGTAAGGACCATACCAGGACCCACCTTTTCTCTGGCTCCAGGAAACATGGATGTGTGTGCAAAATACCTTAAATTGACCTAAAATGCAGTCTCAGCTGGGGTTTCTTATACCCAGCTGGTCATTAAGCATATTCTTGCTATATAACCAGCTGAGTGACAGAGGCTTCTAGGTGTCTTCACAAGACCAGATACAGATGATCAATCTCACTACAATAATTGCTAATCAATAAACAGTGGAAATTTCTCAAAAATATGGTTACAAGCAACACCATTCTTCAGTATGTTCCATGCCTTGAGGAGCAGTCAGTGCAATGCAGGTACACTTCTTGTTTTAGTAAAACAGATCAAGCCAATTTCAGGCCTGCTCCGCAATTAACCCTCCCAGCTCAGTTGCCTTTTGCTTTTCTAGAACTGGGTAAGGAGACTTTATTCTGACTTTAATTTAATTGTCACAAGAAGCATTGATTAAGTGCTCTCAAAATTAGTGTTAGATGCTTTATAGAACCTGCAGAAGAATCTACCCTGTGGCAACAGATAATAAAAAAGCAAAAGAACCAATGAATATTTACATGCCCACAATTGGCCTGACCGCAGTGGTAGTCACCCTGGGTAAAGTGTCTGGGGTGAGTAATATCATTATTGTTTCCGCTCCTACGTCTACTGCCCAACTACTAATATGGTGCTGTTGCAGACACTCAGCAACTTCTTGTTGAAAAGCTGGTGAACTTTGGCCAGGAGCAGAAGACCGAGACAGAGCAGGGCCATTCAGACATACACATCAGTATTAGAATCTCATTCCTCTCTAGCCAGCAATTAGGGGTTGAAAGTGTAAATTAAATAAATCTTTCTGAAAAGTAGTTGGTAGTGTTCACTAAGCAACTGAAAATATTTACATTTGTAACCTAGTAACTTCACTTTGGGGAAATTTTTATAAGGAAATTATTTGAAATGTGATTAAATATTAATATACAAAGAATGGTAGCAAACATTTAGAAACAGCTTAAGTGTCCAATGATATGGAAATTATAAAATAAATTATCCTCCATTCAATGACATTATACAACTAGCAAAAGTAATTCTCAAGACAATTTTTTAATAACGTGCAAACATGTCTGAGATATAAAGTTAAGTGGAAAAAAACAATCTGAGAACTGAACTGATAGCCATTTGTTGCGTGACCAATTCTGTGCTGTTGTCAGGGAGAGAGCTGCTGCTACCTGCTTGCTCCTCACCAAGCTCTCATGTCCCTTCTGTTCCAAGACACCTGGCAGGCTAGGAAGTGAAGGGACTTTCATACCAATGAAGAGTTGAGGTGCTGGCAAGTCTAGCAGCTCGTATCATCCCACAGGCCCTTAGCCATGTGAAACGTTAGCCATTTCTATTTTTCTCCTAGATACAATTCACTGTATTTCTGTAATTTTCTAAATGGTGCCCTGATTAAGAGCATCTTTGTGAACTTTCAGAGGAGCTTAACATGTTTCTCAATTACTTTTCTTTCATTTTTAAATAATAATAACAGGGGCTAAAAGGGAAACATTATGAGTCAAGAAAATTTATTTTCTGATCCTTCTCTACAGGCCCGATCAAATTTCTTAATAATGTTTTGCACTGGATTCCACATCTGTAAAACCAGGACAAAATGGACTTTCCTCCTAAGACCACTGGATTCCTTGTTATAAAGTGTTGTCAGTATTGTTAAAGAAGACTATTATGAAACTTTATCATAGAATAATCATTGTAAGAATCACAAATTTATAAAATTTTAGGTGGTGAGGAATTCAGAGACCATTAAGTCCTGTATTGTCATTATTGAAACCAACACACTGAATCGTAGAGGTACTATAATATTGTGAAAGAAAGTAAATACTGATATTGGTACAGACATACTAACTGAACCTATCAACTAATGAAAAATAAATCACTAATGAAGCAAGATCCATTTCTTTAGAAAGATTGTTATTGTGGAATATATGCTGTTTAGAGGTATTATAATATTGTGAAAGAAAGTAAATACTGATATTGGTACAGACATACTAACTGAACCTATCAACTAATGAAAAAAAAATCACTAATGAAGCAAGATCCATTTCTTTAGAAAGATTGTTATTGTGGAATATATGCTGTTAAAATTCTAGTTTGTCCCTATATATTTTGCTGATCTTTGAGAAAATGATTAAAACAAGATTGATTGTGAGCCTTATCCTAGTCACACAAATTAGGATGTTCATGTAATTGAACTATGCTTTAAACGCTTGAGTTCACTTGGAAACTGACCTGCACAGGAGCATGGCTCAGTTGAACAAAAAGTGACAGAGACCTTATTCCTTGCCAAGTACTGGGCCAGGTATAAAGAGGGATCTGACATGGTGCTATCCTCAGGGAGCTTATAGAAGTGGAGAGGAAAACATATTTTAGTATAATATGATAAATGACAGTGTTATGTAAAGACAGACATTACAACCTGAAGTTAAAGGGCAAATTTCTTAGAGATGGTATTTGAGCTGAGACTTACACAAGGAGGAAAAAAATGGCCTAGCTGAAGAAAGGAGAGATTTTCTAGGCATAGAGAACAGCATGTGCAAAGGCAAAAAATTGTAAAACTGCATGGTATAGGAAAGAAATGATAAAAAGTTTTAAAATTGTCATAGCAATCTGATATTGCTGTTACATGCAATTCATGTTGTTATACTTTTAAAAATGTCAGTTTGCAAATGATTAGACATTTATAAAAATCAGTGTGGCCCTTCACTGTAGATACCTTGAGCAGCACTGACCTAGAGAATATAGCTCTGTGCCAGGAGGGCTGAGAAATGAGGCTGAAGTAGTAGAGGCACCAGATCATGAGGGGCCTTATTTCCCAGGGTAACCATAAAGGACATTACAAAGCTAGAATGAAGCACGAGCTTTCCTCATTTGTGAATGTCACCAAGAAGTCATGTGTTTATTTTGAGGGAACCCCCCCACCCCCAATCTTAGATATAAAACACACCCATGAAATTAGTCCAGTATTTGAGGGAGGGGCCTGCTCTGCAATCATTCTTATAATCATGGTGCTCCTTCTGCTACATCATGCTCTGGCATGTGCTGGACCATCTATCAGCACAGATGCTCTAGGAGGGTGGCAGAGATACCCCTGGTCTATAGTCCTTTGCACACCCAAAGACTTGAGTTGGATTCTGTGGTTGCTACCCCTAGGCCATGGCAGCCAGAGTCCAGCTTTCCCCCATGCAAGGCAACAGTGCAGCCATTCCTATCAAAGGTCCTGCCTCTATCAACCATGCCATGAAAGAGCAGGGTACAGTTCTCCACCACTGGTACCACTGCCCAGGCCCCCACACACCGTTTCATCCTCTTCCCAGACTCCAAATACCAGCAGCACTGCCATCAGCAGCATGACACCATCTACCCTGCCACTGAGGCCACAGTTCGGGCCCTGCCCCTTTCCCACTTGCAGCACAGAAGCCTCCATCCCTTACCCTTTTCTGGACCAACACAGAAAGTTGTTTCTGCACTTCAAGCAAGAAAAATCCAAAGTACTAAACCAGAGCTCTGGCTATCCCTCCTGTACACAACAACAAAGCATGGAAGTTGCCCATGAATTTCTTACTTACTCACATTGTCACCCCAAGCAACAGATCTTGGACTGTATCCCGTTAGTGATGGGATACAGTTAATCAGGAAAAACAGTAGGGTGAGATCTGTGCTTGAGATACACCAGTGTGTGCTTAATGTGGAAGATTAATTCAAGAGGAGCTAGATGGGAAGCAGAGGAGTCAGAGGCTATTGCAATATTCCACTGGAAAGTGACAAGGCTCAAACTAGGACTGCAGCTATAGGAGAGATGGACATGAAGAGGCAGGATAGAACAGAGAAATGTCTGTAAGATAAAAATCTCAAGAGGTGGTGACTGATTGGGTTTGGGCAGTGGGGAATGAGGAAGAACAGGACTATGGACGATACCTATGCTTCCGGCCTGGGTGCCTGGATGCAACATGGAGGTCGTAGAAAAGACTGGGATTATGGGGTCAGGTGGAACAGGACCAGAGACAATCGAGGGCTTTCCTTTCAGACACACTGAGTTTAAAGTGGTTGTGAGACATGCAAGGGATGTCTGGGTGGAAAACATTCAGCTAGTCACTAACATATCTTACCAAGAAACGGTCTCCACCAGCATCTCCACTTTTTCTTCACTTTCTTGAAATCTGAACTTTTGTTGTTGTTGTTCACAGGCTTAATCTTCAGCCTCTACACTCCAGAGATTAAAAAAAGAGAAGGTCCTGCAGAACCACCTGACTTCCAGTCCTGCTCGCGAGTCTGTATCAGTTGCCTATTCCAATCAAGTGACGTACAAATGACATACAATAATTTAACAGAATCAAGAAGAATTGGGGCCTCCCCTGTCCTTTGTGACTCAAACAAGCACATTAGTCCATTTTATAGGAACATTTCTAGGAGAGCAGCTTTTAGGAGGGGTGTTTGTGAACAGTATTGCTAACAACCCAGGCAGGTGGGCTCGCTGACTGCATGCATTTCCCTGGAGTTTAAAGTTTCTGGGACCAACAACTGTTATCTATGGAAACTTTCCTACTTTCTTTTTGTTCTTATGTTACCTAATGTTTGTATTTATTGTTTTCCACTATGTTATTCCAGGAAAAATTTGCAAGTGTATTATTAAATATTAAGTAGAAATCATACCATGCCACTTTGTACATACAGATATTTTATTCATATTTTCTTGTGTTACTTTTAATAAATAATTACTGTACTCAATACACTAAAATATCATAACATGACTGTAAAAATAGCCATGGTATTGTCTTTCTTTAATTATGGATATTTTTGGATTGATTATTAGAATATGAGTATTCACTGATGAAAGGCATCTGTAATAAATGAGAAAGGGACAAAGGATCCTCGTATCAGACCCTGTTAGGGGGATAGAAATTTGCCATTTCTTTGGTCTTTCTGTTTGTAATTCACACTATGTAACAAGGAGGTAAGGGCATTTATGACACTCTGTACTGCATTCATTAAGATAATAGGATCAAGATTTTTCATTAATCCATTTGGTTGATACCGTCTCTGTGTATTTTTTCTTTCTTTTGGAAATGTAATACTTTGTTCCAGTAATCATTGCTAAATCTCCAGTTTGTAGAAAGCCAACACTTCATAAATACATAATTGTAATATTATTTTTCAGTGTATCACTTTCCTAAAAATACCATATGATTACAACTGCCACTCTATCAGGAGGAAATTCTTCTGTTGAAAGTTGACTGCTCAATCTTGACCACTTCCTTGACACATGGGATCAAAACGTCAGGTAGGTTGAGCTTCTGCAGAAAGCTTTGGAACTAATAAGCTACCACTGGCAGCTCTTTAACTTATACGATTATCTAAGCTGATTTTAATGCTTAATTATCTTAGTGATCCAAGGGCAGTATGGTGGAGATGAATGGCATATTTAAAACTGCCTTTTAACATTTCTTTTGCTGTATTTTACAACTTCCAGCTCTAGGGGAGCTAGAATATAATCTCTATTTTAGCTTCCAGATGCGTGGGCTATTTCTAATCAAAGACAACGAGCAAGCATATCTATATTTCTGATTGGTGTCTCTGTGAGAAGAAATGGAATAGGAAGAAAGAAAAAAAAAAGGAAAGGAAGAGGGAAGGGAAAAGGGCAAGGATCTCCACTACATATGCTTCACATAAGGACTGCTTTGCCCATGCTTAATTACAACTGAGAAGCCTTTAGATGGGCAGGACAGTGGCTGGAATGTGCCACACAGGGGGCAATTATCTTCAGAAGGAAATCTCCATGCCCCTAGGATGCTTCACTGAGCTTCTCAAAAAACTTTGCTACA